CACAGACTCACACGGACGCGTCCAGTGGGCTCCTCTTTATTACAGCCTTGCAACTGCACGCAGAGAAAACGTACCGTTTGAATCCCGTGGGTTTTACATCTAGACATGCCCTTTTTCCATGTCTTGGGCAGAGGCTTTTTTACTTAGCTTCCTTTCTTTCTTAAATTTGGGCCTGGTGAATGCCAGATCTTTTACCACTGTCCCGTCATCGAGAGCATCTTGACATTTTGGTGACGCTGCTTGGGAGTTGGTACAAGCAGGACATGTTTAATGCCAGCTAATCTGTCTTATTCAGCATTATCATTGCTGGCATAATGTGAAGCTGAGGAGTTGAGGAATTTTTTTTTTCCCAGAAATGTTTCTAGTCAGAGAAGGCCCAAATGTAAAAGAAGAAATAGAAAGTTATTTTGGAAATAAACTGTAAAGTCTACGAGACTAAAAATCAACTAAACCTTAACTCTCCTTTGCTTGCTTTCAAGAATTGTGTTGGAAAACGTCCTACTTTCAGTTTTGAACTAGGGAGAAGCCCCATTTACAAATTTTCTACATGTCTTCCTTTGCACAGCTTGACAGAGGAAATTGTTGCCTAGGGACACAGCAAGCTAGCATGGTATTTCACATCATGAGACTCTTTTTCCCACTTAATTCCTTCATGTTCAATAAGAAGAGGTAATTTCCAGACATTAAATTTAGATTAAGTCATGACTGGTAGTAAAACCAGCTTGATCTCACAATAACTGTGCTTTACTACAAGTGAAAACAATTAGAAGATAAAATGATTCTTAAAAGTCAAATAGTACGGTGTTATAGGATCTACTGTGGTGGGAAACAGTGACCAGACAATGAGATACTTGGTTTCCCAGACTCAAAAGGATTACACAAAGTAAAGCAAACCTAATCTTTTAAGAGATCATTCCCTGAAACTGGGTCAGAATATGTTGCCTCCCTTTGTCAGCAGTTATTAAAACTGAGAAAATCCTTCCTGATAATAAGGTATTTAACAGGATTTCATAGGAGAGATAAGTACACCAGAAGACATTCAGTTAAAATTAGGAATGCTCGTTGATTGACTCTATCCAAACCACCAAGGATTGGTCAAGACTGTTCAAAATACTTGCTAAATTCACAGAGATTTCCTAACTATGTCGTTTCACATATAAAAATGATGTGAACAGGATCTGAGTTGGACACAATCATCCTCGTAAAAAAGACAGCCACCTTTCTGTACTACTTTTACCAGTGTCAAGAGGCGAAGAGATGTTTGTGTTTCCAGGCTGAAGTTAGCTGCTGTTTTCTCAGGCGTGAAGATGAGCTCAACGAGGTCAGCCGGAACTGACTTGGATTTCTTTCAGAAAGCCAGTGTGAAGGAGGATGAAGCGTTCCTTCCAAGGAGATGAGAACGGCAACTCACCTCTAATTGGAGCACTAATGCCTTGCCTTTGGCTATTCATTTTCTGACTGTAGGATTGGAAGCCTCTCTGCCAAAAGAGGTTGTGTAGTCTCCATCTTTGGAAGTTTTCAAGACCCAACAGGATAAAGCCCTGAGTAACCTGGCTTGGTCTCACAGCTGAAGCTGCTTTGAGCAGGAGGTTGGACTACAGACCTCCTTAGATCCCTTCCAACCTGAGTTATCCTATGATTCTATTATTATCATCCATTTTACATCTGTCATCTTTGGCTTTCTTCAGATAACAAATTCATCAAGACTAGGTTTGAAAGTTCATTTTTATAAAGCATGGCCAGGAAAAAGTTGCAAGTTTAACTGCTTTGTATGACTGAGAAATATGACCCAGCCAGAGAGAGGTAAAAATCTCTGTACGAGATGAAAATACCATGATAGCTCTTTAAGGAAAAATGATTTAAAAAGTGAGAAATTACAGGTCTTTTGAAATACATATCACAGGCTTATATACATTTGCAAAACAAACTGGAACTGCAAAATAACTACCGAAACACGTTTATAGCACTACAGCCTCCGGTGTCCTGCATGGTAAGGGCCAAGATGACTTTTGGTCATAGTCTCCACTGCCTGCAAGGTTATATATCATACAGTCTAAGCTGCTCCTTCATGTCTCCTTCAGACATCTCTCCAAATGTGTCACTTTTTTCCTTCATGAGCCTGAAGATGGCAGCCAGCTGCTCTCTCTGAACCCTGTCAAGAAGAAAAGGAGAAGTAGGAATAGCCAGTCCCCAGAAGGCACTTTGAGCAAGAACACCATGGTCAAATGAAACACGAAGCCATACGCAGGTCATTTCACAAGCCTTACTGGCTGCAGGAAATCTGCTCATGTGAGATAAGAAAGGAATAGCCTGTGGTTCTCTTTCCTCCACCTTCCTGTCTATCCAATCATCCTGCCCATCTCCCTGCAGTTCTTTAGATATGGCGATAAACCAGACTGCTTTAACACTAGCTTTGGAGTTCCTTAGGGCTTATCTATGCTCAGAGTTTCAAGATAACTCAACGTGTGGAATTTCATAAGACCAACATGTCCCAGTTTAGCAGACTCCGTAATGAAACTGGATTCAGCTTCGTCAGCACAGTGTCCATTCTGTAATGACAGTATGTAGATACAGAGCAACTCTGGAACAACTATTAAATTTTAAATGCATACCCTACCGTAAAACTAGAGACCAGACTGCCTTCCAGTGCGGGCACGACTTTAATCAGCCACTAGAAGATACAATCACAGACAGAAATTTGCTTTGATTAGAGTTCACCTGCCAGTGTCAAATGGTGAGAGGGACTCAGTAGCCTGTCCAGCAATGAGATGTTCCCTGTGTGGGCAGAGGCTGACCAGTGGACCACTAGCTCGGATTTCCATCCCTAGAGAGCCCCATAGTAGATGATTAACTCTCTTTTCCCTGTAACAAATGATATCCTGGTTTTTCCCTAACCTGAAGCAGTTAACCATTGTTGTATGTCCCGCAGCACAAAGATTTGTGTCTGTCACAGGGCTTTATCTGAGGAAGCTTTATAGGAGGGCTTATGCTGGTCATACATCTACCGAACATCACTCAGGGATACGGAAGGGTGGGCAGCACATGAGTGTCATTTGTTCGCAAGTAGCTCATGAACTGATGCAGCTGTTTACAAAACCCTCTTTTAGGGTAAAACGAATGTGCACCTTGGCTCCAGTCAGGGCTGGCTGGGGGCTGGTACGTTCTCATTGCCAGACTCCTGCCTGCTTGGGAGCAGACTGCAGTATTGCCTAACACACCTCATACCTGACTCTCCTGTGTGAGATTAACAGAAGTAGTGAGGTTACGGTGCTTTATGGCTGAAACAAGGGAGAAGATTTATGGCTGAAACAAGGCTCATTTTGCCCCTACGTGACTGTAGGGCCAGAATTCAGTGATAGCTTAGCAGCTCAGAGCACAGATCTGCTGCAATCCCAGCTCCTCCTGCTTGTTTAGCATCTTTAGACCTCCTGTGGGCTAGAAAGACTCTGGCTTTTACTTCCACTTGTCACCCTGTCAAGAGTCTTCTGTCCCTGTCACAGCCAGCTTTCCACATAGGACTTTAATACACTGTAATTAATCCTTTTAAATGCACGCCATTCGTTAACCTGGGGTGGTCTTCCTGCAAGTCCTGTGTGGACAAGTTATTACCTGTTCCAGTAACAGGAGGGGTAGAAATACCTATTGGCAGGCAAAACCAGCACACAGTCTTTGCTTGAAAGAAGAGAGGGCAGCATCAACACATCAGAAGCAACCAAGCCACAAACAAGATCACGGAAGGAGACAGTCAGGAACAAGGAGAGGAGCTGTCATGTGCTGAGCTCCTGCTGAGGGGGTCTCTGCATTTTCCCCTCTCCTGGACTAAGCCCCAGCAGAAGCAGGAACAGCAGGCTGTCCTCCCAGCACCACTGCGGCAGGCAGGGCAAGAAAAAAGCAGATCCTGGCAAAAGCTCATTTGCCAGTTCTTTTCTATTGCAATTAAAATGCAATTGTCCTAAGGCTAAACGTATCCTGATAATGATGTGGGATCTTTTGGTTATGAAAGCTCTGGCCACGGGCTGTCAAGTGCCTGGATTTGTCTGTCTCTTCTGTAGTTTTTTGTGCTCACATGAATAGCAACCAACTGCCCTTTCCAGACGAGAGGAAGGGAAGCACAGTCGTTAGTGATCAATATTTTATTTTAGATCACCGCTGGGCACCAGAGGGCATATTTCCAGTCTGGTCTGGAGAAATTCAATACACAGCTTTGCCTCACATGTCTGAAATGCGTGCCGGCTGGGAGTGCGCCACACAGGTCTGCATCTCTCACGCATTATTCCACACATTAACACTGCTGAAACCTCCCCAAAGGCCCATTTCCTCATCTCCAAACCTCCAGAATCAAGATCACAGGCAATATTCACTCTGTTTTTTTAAGCACAGCATCGATGCATTTTGGCTCTCCCCTCAACTTTAAATATCATGACTGTGCATTTGAAAAACAGAAATAAAAAAGAGCTGCTACTGCTGTTACTTCTCTGCGCCACGTAATCTACAACAAAGGGAGAGCAAAACAAAGATAAAGAGAGAAAAGAGCCTGGGAAGGAAGCGTAAGGCATCAAAAACATGAAACTGATTTCAAAAAGGAGGTTCTCCTATCAAAGGCGACCTTGGAAAACAACTCTGTAGTGCTCCAGGTTGTGGGTTTTTTTTTAATTATTTCAGATCCAACCCACCCCATTCATGAGTAAAATCATTCTCTCTTCCCATAAGGCTGTCCTCAAAACTACTTGGATTCAGGAGGTCAAACAGGATTTTATTTATTGCTGACAAAATAGATTAATTAAGGATTTTCAAAGCACCATAATTCTTCTTGATAGGCAATTGAATTTGCATACTTAACCCCCTTAGGCTCTTTTCAGACATTTCAGTCCAAGACTTTTACAATTAACTGGAGGTTTGGGGCAGTAAGCCACAGGCAGTGAGATCTGTTTCAGGAACTGCTGTGTTCACAGCAGCTGAAATCTTGGGCAGAGCTCTGCATCGGGAACATTGTTGATTGCTCTGCAGCCAAACAAGACCAGGATCCTGTGGCAACACTGCGTTGCTCCAGCAGAAATAAGGGAAAATCCCTGACTTTCACCACTGGTCTGACTCTGTAGTTAAGGAAGCCAGTGCAATCATTTATGGGGTAAAAGGCATAGCAGGGCAGAATGTACCTCTAACCTAAAATCCAGATTTTCAACACAAATCTCTTGAGAAAGAAGTTACAAGCTGCTGGAGGCAGGGAGAACAAGCACAAACCAAATAAACTATTCAAAGGTTTATTGGACCAAACAAAGGCAATTTTTACAGATTCAAGCCACTAGAATTACAGTCCTTTGTATAAGAGCCACCATCAGATACAAAACAAACAAACAAAACAAACAAAAGTAAAAAATACCCAGACAGCCATTTGAGTTGAAGAAATAGTTTGTCTCGCTGCCACTAGCAAAAAACTGGACTCAACTATAGACTTTGCTCGATGTACATATTGCCATGTAACTTAAACACAATGTATATAAGGCATTCTTTGCATAGTTGGGTGCTCGGGACACAGTCAGCCAGCCAGCACCGAGGGGAGACAGCGGCTGTACCAGCGGGACGTTGAAGCAAAGGGTCCAGATGTGCCTAAATTCATATGCATACCACTGAACACACTTGCAGTTGTCGGCTGGGAAGGGGCAGCCCAGCCTCTTCTAAAGCTGAAGCCTCCTGCTGTTCTTTAAATGAGCCCTTTTGTTAAGAGTTTGCCAACCCCAGGCGCTGGAAAGGACAACTGTGTACAAGGTTTCAAGTATTGTCTGCATAGGAATTAAAAAGGAAAAATAAAAAGCAGCCTGTTGGGTTTCTGATATGTTTGCAGCGTTAGCCAAGAGGCAGTTGTCCGGCAGTGAAAGAGAAACTTTGAAGGACACATCCCCACCCAGCCTGGTGTTTCTACATCGCTAGAGGACTTGGACCCTCCTCTCACTCTCACAAACCAACGGGGGTTGATTTGAAGCCTGCTGTGTCTGAAGCAGGTATACGCGCCCAGCCGAATTCATCTTCTGTAGGTGACAGAAGTGAGGAGCAATGCTGAGCTCTGGCTCCCGTGGACAAGCCACAGGGCTAGCAAGAGAAGAGGGCACTGGAACAGCAAGCAGGAAGAGGAATGGGGAGCATGTCTCTTCCAGGACCCCTACTGTCTCATCCTGAGCCAGGGGGAACCCCTGAGGCTATAGCTGCCTCCTTGGGTCTCTCCTCTTGGGAACCAGAGTAGGGAAAAGTGAGAATCCAGATATTAACAGCAGCCAAAGTGGGGTCTCCTAAACCTTCACCACTAGCAGAACAGCTAAACTCTTTGTCACTTCTCGCGTCTTCTGTCTACCTACACAATCAGCTCTCTGCTAAATAACTACAGAAGCAAGATTTGAGTCAGTCCAGCTACCGTCTGCCATCCCTCACTTGGACCCCGCTTTGTCCCTCCGCCCCTCAGAATAAAGCAGAGCGGTACAACATTTGAAATCGTAGGCAGTTCCCACCCTCCAGCAATAAAGAGGAGTTTGGCCCCAGGAAGAAACAACTTAATAGTCTGGTATAAGGTCCAGGCTGGTCTGGGAGAAGAGCTATGGTTCGCCCACCCCAATAAATGGACAACACAGATTTCATGGCAGGCCTAATACATAGTAATGAACACAACTAATAGACTTGCTGCATATTTAGTGTCCAGTCTGGGTTCTGTTTGGGGGAGAGGGAGGAAGGTTCATCCCAGCCCCCAAACACAACTCAGGTCACTGCGTGGGCCCAGCCCCAGTCCATGGAGCCACACGACAGGATCTCCTCAAACTTGACACCACAGGACTTTTTGAAGAACTCAACTTCAGACCAAGAGGGGATCCCAAGTTTTGAGGGTTTATGGATTTCTCTTATGGGTGTGTTTGGTTGGTTTTGGTATTTCTCTCAAGCCTTTAAAGATGCCAAGGGATGCCTTTAGGAGGAGGCTAGGGACAACTTCATATAGTCTTCAGTTCTGCAAAGAGAAACAGGGAGAGAAGAGAAATCATTTCAGTCATTTCACCCCTCAGGTTGGTTCATTATTATTCACATAAATGAGCAGGGGGAAAATTCAGTGTGTGGGAAGGCAAGGCAACTTCCCACCTCAGGGCAGAACAAGCCTCCGTTTGCAAACCTCAC